TTGCAGTATTACTAAAACAAACTATGGTCATTATTTAATGATTTTTTTAATTAATAGAGAGCTTCCAAAAAGTACAAGAAGTTTAACAAAATTTACAATAAAAAGATAAAATATGCAACTTCTGCAGCCGGGGTTTGTCATGTACTAAGCCAGTCAAAATCAAATTGGTCCAGGCAAACGGACGCATGCCGATCCTTCTTTTCTCTCCATTTCCCTCAAATCCCAATTAAGAGAGAGAGAGAGAGAGAGAGAGAGAGAGAGAGAGAGGTGGAAAAACTTCCATGTAATCGCAACAAAAAGTGATAGGCACAAATACAAAAGGAGATCAGAAGCTGAGGATTATTACAGGTAGGAAAATTTAAGCAAAATTTTGCTACTTGAAAAGGCAATCGCATACCAGATCGAGATCCTAGAGCATTACTTAAAGTACAGCCAAAGGATGAATAATGAAAGGGATTTGACAAATTGAAGATAAAATAAACAAAAGTATAAATTCATTTAAGGCGACATTAATTTTTCTAAATTCTAATTTTGCATACAGACGCAACTCCTGCATGAGCGCGGCAGTGAGAACGTATCAATGGTTAATTTGATAAGATTCATATTAATTATATTACAATTGTTATTTTTCTCTACAAATTTTTTTTATGAGAATTAATATACAGTATCTATTTTTACTTTCTGAAACATCGATCTCTCTCTCCTCCTCAACTTTACGTCCAACCCCTTCACATATCATTTATCTTAGTAACAACAACTTAGTTGTGTGCTGAAAGAAGTGAACCCAAAATTTCCTACAGTCATCAATTTCATCCATTCAAACCGAAGCAAACAAACTCCCATCCCATGCAAATTTTGACCCACAACAAATAAGAGGAACAACAGTGGCACTGGAGCCCAGGAAAAAAACCACTAATCAGATGTAGAAGAACAAGATGGTTAAAGAGATCTGGGGAGACAGTGATGTACGGAAAGTTAACTTCTAAAAAAATCTATAATTGACTTTAAACACAATCTCAACCGTTGAGCAAAGAAACGAGCATCAATATCAGCCCCCACGGATGAACTGGTACCGATAAGTTTATTCCGCGGAACCTGAATTAGAATTTAGATTAGTTACGCATCACTATCTGAATCGATTTATTATACTTTTTGTACACCTGATAAATAAATCCCAGTAGGCCACATCAAGTCAATCGAGGCAGTCGATCGCCTCAGTTCGCTATGGTCATTGTCAATTTGTCACATTCGATATATACTTTCCTCCACTTTCTCAGTTAATTAATTTGAAAATTTCCACCATATTCAGAAACTTGGGCCACCGGTACTCCATCCATATAGATATTAGGTCAGGTAGGGGAGAAAAACTTTATACCACTGAGATGTTTTGCTATCCCTAATCAGTTTCGCTATACATGATAAAAATTTCACATGTCGAAGCATGATTGGATGAGAATGGCAAAACAATGCTTTTCTCTTAACATGCAAATCATACTTTTCGTCATACATGATAAGAATTCCACATGACAGAGTCTGATTGGATGAGAATGGCAAAACAATGCTTTTCCCGTGACAAGTAAGTCATTCTCCAAGTAGAGACATACAACTGTTGCTGTTGTTGTGCTTTCCTTCAAATTTGGAGACTCAAACAGCCAATGGAATCACATGCACACTCTAGTTGGGCTTGAGAAAATCAACAGAGATGGAGAAAAGAATTAGGCACTAAAGGGCATGTAAGTTGTGTTTAGAATTTCCAATATTAAGAGCAAAGAAGTACTACTATAATTTCCTCAAAGTAATATTTTTTTTTTTCTTTTATTCAACCCTTGAGATTTGAATTTATAACATCCAACAAAGTGAAGGGATATGCCAGACGAAGAAGAAGAAAAAAACAGCATATTGGCTAACGATTGATGATTTGATTGAAGCTGGTGCTTATGGGGTCGAATGCCTTCTACGTTGAGCAGCTCAGTCTCGTGCCAGACCGGGCTTCAAGAAGAAAGTATCTGGCCCTGCTTATCACATAAACAAGTTCATTTGTGGCCCAAAAGAATTGGATCATCTTTAGAGGCCTACTTGAATTTCTGCATCACACGCAAACATTAAATTTTTTCTGCTGCCCTGGCCCCGATGTTAATTGAAGAAGAGCATCAGTGAGCTTAACTTGATTTTTTCCTTAATTTGATAAACAATTAACTTTTATCATGACGGAATTGAAGGTGAACAAAGGTATAATTAGGAGTACATGCGAGAGTTTGGAGGTTAAAAACTTGTTTGCAAGGAAAAAACTGCCCATAATTATAATCCCAAAGGTGTCTTGATCATGGGGGTATTCTGGTTAGTTTATTTATAAACTCTAAACCATTTGTTTTCTCATCATGTAACTTTATTCAAATAGTGGTTGGACTTCTAAACCATTTTAAAAAAAAAATTTAAGTTGTACTCGAGCGTTTCAAAACTGGATCAGTTTCACCAGACACGATGGAGCACTAGCTAGGGAAACAAAAACTAACCAAGTTAAATATACATTTAGCCATGAACAAACAGCCAAATTGATTATGAACCAACCAAGGCACTGTGATGTGTGGAAGGTTACCTAGACTCTTTTTTTTATTATAAAAGGTTACGTATGGGACATCAAATAGTAGAAGATGAAGATCACGTATGGGACATGGTGCCAGGAGTTAGAAACGAGAAGCGATAGCAAAGATGCAACTGAAAGTAAAGCACAAAACATGATGGCCAAGCGAAAGTTGGTGGGAGAGTAAGTAGGGAATCTTAGCCTAGGTGCAAGAGCCGAGCTGTAGGCAAGCAAGCTTGCAATGGCAACCATGGTGGTGGTACGATGGGTTTCAAATGGAGAAGACAACATTGATATTCCCAGGAACTTGATTTGAATTAGGGCAACAAGTACTGACACTATAAACGCAAGAATGGAATGGGTGGAAGCAGCAGGCAAATATTGGCTTGCAAGATTGATACGCAGACTAGTATTGAATGTGAAAACAAAGGAATTGTGTGCATGTAAGATTATGGTTTGGCGCCTTTGAGAGTGAATATCGGCCATGCTCGGAGAGAGAGACCTTTGTTGAAATGATGAGGTATATTTATAGAAAGAAAAAAAAAGTTATATATTGTGTGTTTCTTTGGATTCTGAAAGAACTTCAGTCTAATGTGCGGACTGATTCTCATGCAACTAAAAAACAAGAAAGGTCCACACCAGTTGGGTAGTGCAAGGTCATCATCCGCATTTCTGACAAGTCAATCTAGGGTCTTGTTTTGGTCATGAGCAGGGTAATCAAGTAAAAAACAAACCAGGACGTGCCAGCTGATCAAGTAAAATGCGCTCCTTTTCGCTTCTTTCTTTGCTCCATTTGACAGATGTACAAAAATACTAACGGGTCAAGTTAAGTGGAAAAAGAGACTTAATTTATAAATCAATGATCTTATATTCGAACCTCCATGACATATTGACAGTGTGTATGAAAATACCCCCTCTCCCTTCTTAACTTTGACAAAACAAAAAGAAGATGTATACAAAAATAATAAAGAAAGAAAAAAAAATCCTGATAAACAAACACATAACTAAAGTTTGAAAGAAAGCTTTTATGCAACCATGTTATGTTATGTAAGTATATATTTGATTCAACAACTGTGTTTCATGAGAGGATTTCTTTTAGTAAAATGGAGACTGGATGGATACCAATGAACTTAAAACAAAATAACCGATATGATAACCATGGCGGAAAAAGAGTATTCCAGATCTAGTTTTAGAGAGAGAAATGAAAAGAAAAGTAAGGCTCTGAATATTTCTCAGAAGTGGTTTCTTACATGATAATGAAATGAACTAAACCCAAGCTTATAAAGCTGCGTAGCCATGACTTCTTCACTAAGCTAACATACTTAACAGACTAACTAATCAAACTAATAAGCACGTGAAAAGCTAACAGACGTGCCACCTCAGCAAGGACACGTGTCAGCCCATCATACTGTTATCACGATATACTACTGGTTTCAGCTTGGAGGCATATTCTTGCTAACACTTGGCAATGTGAGGCCAAACATGTTTGTCGATAATTGAATTATACTCCTCCTCCTTGCTTCGTCAGTTTTAGTCTGTCCTTTAATTTAGGCGGCTTTTGTTTTGATAATCCTTCCCCTTGTTTTTACCGTTGGGTTCTTGTAATGATCCTCTCTAGGTTTTCCAGTCTCGTCTTTGTAGTTTTGTTTGACTTTTATGAAGCCCCGTTATTGACATTACTTGCAAGGGAAAAAGTTAATTATAGCAAATTAATTAATAAAAAAACCATTTTATTAATTGGTTTTATAAAGTGGTTAATTAATTAATTTAATTAATTATTGTTTGCTTAATCTGTCATATCTTTGTTCTTTTTTCAGGTTGGAGAGGCCACAACAGAGGAGAGAATGCCAGGCACAAGGAGGAGGTTGGAAAATGAGGGGGCTTTGTTTGGGCTTTATATTGCAGTTAATGGGCCTTGTTAAATGTTTAACTAGAAAACTCTTATTAGCCGAGTCGTTCTATTGTGAGGGTGAAAAATAAGGGGGTTGTGGGGGTGGGGAGGTCATATATGAACCATAAGCTTCACTTAAGTTTAACTAGCCTCTCCGCAGGCGCTTCCGCACCTACGAGAGGCTCTTTTTAAAAAAAAAAAAAAATTTATTTTAGAATTAAAAAAGGATAATGAGTAGTTGTGCTCCATAAAAATAGGATCCATTATCTTTTCTTTTTTTTAATTTTAATTTTTTTTAATATGAAAAATTATGAATTTACCATATTATCCTCATTTAATTAATAATTTTAATTCCTAATATTTGCATTAACCAATGATATTTTTTGGTATTTTGAATGTTTTACCATTCTCTGCCTTTTGCCTTCCCTTTATTATAATTTCTCTCTGCTTAGGAGAATTCGGAGGCCAAAAGTTTGATCTACTAAAAGCCAATAAGGAGGCCAAAACTATGAAGCACTTGGTAATCTTCACCAAACAATAATATTTTACCAAACCCGTCCAGATTCAAGAGAAAAAGTTCAACCACCCACACATGCATTATAAAACCTAATACCATGGTTCTTGCTTTTCTGCAGAGCGAACCGTTTCTTAATTAGCTTTCTTAGCTTGTTGCAATTCAAGCTCACCATCCATGGTAGCGGTTGGTCCGTCCAACTTTCATCAAAGAGACAAGAGCTCACAACTTTCATCCAATGGAACCACAAGTGACGACACAATGAGGTTTTTTTTTTGTTTGTTTGTTGAAGTATCTGTATTTATTATTTTGTCCCTCTTCTTCCGCCCCTTAAATCCCTTGAAGACGAATATATTATATATATACTCTCTATGTTTTTATATAATATGCTAAACTTGTTGACTATATCATCACCACTGTCTCTATGCTTTTATTTCACTCGAAATGAAAGTCATGTGAAAGTGAAATAATAGTCTCAACCAATGAAGGTTGGTCAGAGTTGAATGGGCTCTGGTCGCTTAAATAAGTGGTTTCGGGTTCGAGCCCTTGTGAATGCCAAAAACTTTCTTGGAAGAGGTCTCCGCATATGAGCCCAACAGTACCTCGGAGGATGAGACCTGGTCATGCCTGGGGATACCTTAGGAAACCAGAAATAAAAGTCTCAATATAGAGTGTATATCATCACCAACTTGTAGGCTGATCAACGGGGGGCCATAGGAGTCAAACGACCCCTTAACAGTCATGGGCTTGGAGGTCTTAGTTTGCTGCTGCTTGAACTGCTCACTATCTGTTTGATGAAAAGCCTGAGGAGGAGGTGGAGGAAGAGAAGCTGCGTATGTTATTTTTTTAATCGTCTGACAAAACAGCGTGGTTGTTTTTTAGGAACATTTACACACTGACCCCTTGGGTGCCAAACTGGGGGCCGCCATTGTTTGTGTGGAGTTTGGCAGCCTTGGAAGTTGGGCAGGGAGGATTTGGAAGGTGCTGGTCTTTACGGAGATATCAAGCATGGAATGGAATGGAGGTGCAATAACAATCTGATCGCCTGACTTCAAATCTGGACGGTCCATTTAATCTTGAAGCATTTCCAAGCACGAGGGACATTATTAAACTTCATGGTAAACGCATGGGTGGCCATCCTCACATTGCAAGCAGGTTAGGAGGATGCCTAGGAAGTTGGGGGAGATGCCGAGCACCGAGACAATGAGACGGACATTACTAGGCCAGAAAAATTACAGTGGCGATTTAAGTTGCATATCTTATTCATACAATTATTCCTTAGCATCTTCAATGAATGAATCAAGTGTAACTTTCCAAATTAAATAAAGAGGAACTTGCTTATTTCGATTGTTTCTATGATCAAAAGAGTTTCATGGGTCCATTTTATTTTGAGAGAGAATTTTTTTTTATTCTTCTTGTTTTTTTTGGCTAAGATATAATTTTGTTCCACCTGAAATTTGGTAGGTCGAGACAAAAGTAACAAAATGACGATTGTTTTGCAAGCCACCAAGTTATTACCGTCTTTACTATTCTTCTTTGTGGCATAACGCGGTGACTATGTCTAACTCTTGGCCTTCCCGTCCGTCGCTAATTACATATGACTGTGTCTAATTCTTGGGCTCCTCCGCCCCTACATGTTTTCATCAGGAAATCCATTGATAATTTCTTCAGACTTAAGTAAGAATTAATTGTTAAAGGCAAGGCTGGCCTAAGATTTTGGGAGCATGGGACAAAGACAAAACTATAATCTGTCGTACATCCCTCACAATCTAACCTAGGAATATATTTTTATCTTCATTTTCGATTATTAAAAGATATTTTACAAATAAAGGATTTTCAAAGATTTGACTTAACTATTTTATTTATTTATTTTATTAGTTTGAATGAATATTCATATGTGCTATAATAAAATAACGAGTAAAATTTATCGAAAATAGTTATATTGAAATTGGGATTTTAGAGTCATTAAAAAAATTCATACGTGTTGATTCCATGACCAATATTCAAGCTACATATGAAAAACCATAATACTGCATATTTATAGATTACTCCCAACTGTGAAACAAGTTTAACTAGCTAGGAAGTAAACTTAATTTCTAATGACCCAAACATAAGTTAAGGTAATTCCCAAAAAATGTTGCCTATAGAGAAATAGAGATGTCCATCGGGGTCACTCGGGGCGGGTATGCATTGTCGTATTTACTCTGTCAAGTTTATATTATAACTGAGGAAGTAAACAAGAAATAGATAAGAGTAGAGAGAAAAATATGGACGCATTTCATTCTATTTTTTATTTTCAAAATGATTTCCAAACTATTATTCTAGCCTTTTTGAAGAATACTAAAAAACCGCCCTAACCTAACAGAGCTTCAAGTTATGAGCACTTGTATCAAGTTTGATAATACCAACCCTTTCTTACTCAAATGGTAAGGAGTAAGTACTTGAAAGAAAAACAAGTTACACAGAAATAAGAAAGAAAAAGGAATGTTCATGACTTTTGTAGGACAATCTAAGACTGAATTTTAGGAAACTAATATGAAATATGTAATATATATTAATGAAACCTTCCAATTACATCCAATATGATTATGAGAGTACTTGAAAGACAACATTGAGCATTTTTAAACACATAAACAGAATCCAACATCAGCTTTCATGGTTGAGAGGTTGAATCGCTAAATTGAAGCTTCATGTATATGTATCACGGACCGCAAATCCATGAATGTCAGTAGCTGTCACAGGTAGCAGTGTAGGTGTCCGCCGCGTCACGCGACTTTGACATAGCTTTTGGAGCAAGCCAAAACCCTCGGCCATCAAATAGTAGAAGATAAAGATCACATATGGGATGTGGTGCCAGGAGTCAGGAACGAGAAGCGATAGTAGAGATGCAACTGAAAGTAAAGCACAAAACATAATTGCCAAACGAAAGTTGGTGGGAGAGTAAGTAGGGAATCTTAGCCTAGCCGCAACAGCGGAGCTGTAAGCAAGTAAGCTTGCAATGGCAACCATGGTGGTGGTGCGATGGGTTTCAAATGGAGAAGACAACTTGATTGGAATTAGGGCAACAAGTACTGACACTATAAACGCAAGAATGGAATGGGGGGAAGGAGCAGGCAAATGTTGCCTTGCAAGATTGATAAGCAGAGTATTGAATGTGAAAACAAAGGAATTGTGTACATGTAAGATTATGGCTTGGCGCCTTTGAGAGTGAAGATCGGCCATGCTCGCAGAGAGAGGAGAAATTATAGAATAGTACCGTACCACCACAACAGCTGGTGATACTCCCATTCAAAATTTGACATGTGTATAACTTTTTGACAACTAGAGTATTCATTTTACCCTTTAAAAAAAAAATAAAAGAATTTTAAACACTTACAAATAAAAAGAAAGAAAAATAAAAACCCAAAAATCATTTGCCTCATCTACGGCGACGAAGCCCCCTGTCATGACTATCTGTCTCTCTATCTGTGAATATGATGACAGCCCATGGCAAATGAGTTTGCTCTTGATATATGTTGAAAGCTTGGATTCCTCAAAGACCATAAACTCACCCCCAAGAAAGTTTCAATCTAAATTCCTTGAACCCTACCCGAAATAGAGAGGAGGGAGGAAGAGGGAGGGGGAGAGAGAAAAACACAAAGACATGAAAAAAGAAAGACCAGCGGCAGTCATGGCAGAAAGGTGGGGGTGAGGTGGGGGCTTTGTCGCAAGTTGAAAGAAGGGGTTGATGTTGCTGAGGAATTTTTTTATTTATTATTATTTTAGATATTTCCATTTTTGTTAAATTAAATTTAAATTGAAAAAAGGATTTTAAATCCAGCTGTTTAAATTTTAAATTTTTCTTTAAAAAGTTGTACACATGTTAAATTTTGGGTGGGAGTATCACGAGCTGACGTGGTAGTACGGTATCATTCTATAATTTCTCCAGAGAGAGACCTTTGTTGAAATGAGGTATATTTATAGAAAGAAAAAAAGTTATGCTTGCATTATGGAAAACTTTCTAACACCACAAAAAAACAAGAAAGGTCCGTATATATACCAGTTGGGTTGGGACTACAAGGCCATCCGCCTTGTTTAGCTAATCAAGTAAAACACAAAGCAGGTCATGAAGCAAATGCCGGCTTTGTCTGACGTGCCAGGTCATCAAGGAAAAAGGGGTAGCTCCTTTTCTCCTCCTTGTTTTGTTTGAGGTTCTACTTCCAAACATCCTAATCTGCTATTGATGCTGCTATCTCAAAATCTACATAGCCTTGGCAAAATTTGAGTTAATCTTACTCTGGAAATTGCATGCCCCACTAATATTAGTACTACTCTAAAGAATAACAACAAAAATAATTGATTGTGCGTCAAGGTAACTCTCTCTGAATAAATAATAAAAATAATAGAATAACTGGATGAAAAATAGTTTCAGTAATCAAGCAATTGGTCCTCGCGTGGCAGGAAGGAAGACCATTCAAAATAAGTGACTAATTTGCAATGCCTTGTACATTAATTGAAATTTTGCGTCTAGTTAAGCCCACAGAAAATTCAACTTTAATTTCTTTCTTATTTGGGCCTTGGCCCTCTTATATACCTAGCCAATTTTTTCCGTAATCCTCCGTTTGGATAAAGGAATTGAAAATTATATAGAATTCTAAAATGACGGAATTTAGATTTACATCATTTCAATTTCTGACAATTGAAAATTTCAGTGTTTGGATTTATATATGTCGAATTTTGTAAATGGCACTATGGAAATTGTGAAATGACGCCTATTTTTAAATTCGGGAATTTGATGCCCCAATTTTCATGATTTTTCCACGCGTCATTTAATAAATTCCACACTTAAGTTGTCAAACAAGGGAATTGTCAATTTCTCCTCTTAAATTCCCGACTTTTAGCTAAATTCCGATTTATTTTCATTGTTTTGGATGTTTTCATCCTCTCCGCTATATAAACTTATGGTGTTCTAATAAATCATTTATTTCAAAAAGAAAAAAAGAAAAAAAAAAGAAAGTAAGTTGCTCTGGAAGATAAAATTTAATTACAATTAAGTCAAGATATATAAAAAAGGAGAAAATTGAGATTGAGAAAATATGTACACCATATCTTTTCGTTTGTCAATTGTAATTAGATTTTATCTTGACTTAATCTTTATAAGGTATTGAAATCGCCGCAACTAAGTACGAGTCTAAATAATTGAGACCTACTCCAACTAAATATATATATATAGGGTAGGGTTAGGGTTAGGATCGGGGGACACACAAAAAACCACACATTTTGAGACATTTTTAAGACCCTTAGATTTAAGCACGTTCAACGGCTGAGATTAATTCTTTAATTTTGAATTAGTGGAATACAATGCGAATTTGTAGATATTTATTTAAAGATCATATCTTTGAAAAAAATCACTTGAAGTCCGCTAATCCAAACCGTCTATTTTGTAGATATTCATTCAAAAATCATCTCTGCAAAAAATCACTTGAATCCGATATCATTTGACCACTCAATTGAGCTATTGAAATTCAGGTACTTTCTTGAAGCACCGTGGTCATTGATTTTGTTGGTAAATTAGATGCCTTAATGATTTTCAATTTACATGATTTTTTGCAAGGATGATCTTTGAATGAAGATGTGAAAAATAGATGGTTTAGATTGTTGAATTTTTTTCCGTAAGGGACCCTAAAGGTGTCCCTCAAATAAAAGTATTTGATATATACCATTATATCCCTCAGTATATACATAGGCCATGTTCAGTATGCCTTACTATGCCTCACTGGACTGGATTGGATTAAATAAGACTTGAAACTCATGTGTGGTAAGGTAGAGGATTAACTTAAATGAGATTATATAGTCCAACAATTAAATAAAAAAAACCCGAATTCGCATGTCTAATATAGTGAGCTGTTGCATTCCTAAGAGGACACAAATTAATGTGCAAACAACCAATTAAAAATACCCGCAAGTGCACGAATCTATTGAAGTATAGATTATGTAAGTACGGGGTCGATCCCACGAAGAACTTGTCGGCTTCCTATAAGTTCTAATTTGAGTACGTAAAGAACACTTAATTGACACACCACAAATGCACAAATGCAAAATGGAAACTAAAAATGAGTAAAGAAGTGTAAAAGAAATGAAACAACACAAGAAAACTAAACAAAAACACAAACAGCATTTTCTATCACCCTTTTATCACCCATTTATCACCTATGAACAGTGCTAAAGAGACCGGTCGTCAGGTAAAAGCGACCGGTCGTTTTTGCACAGAGTCGTTTTCTCT